CAGGCTAACATAGAAAACTAATTTGCATAAAAAAATCATATAATTGCTCCACTCAATTATCGTCCACAGCGTGCATAGGTTAATTCTATTAGCCTCAATCAAGCAGGACACGCCCACTGCAAGCTCGTCAGCCAATCACATTTGCTGGTTTATTTGGAATTGGCCAATGAGCGAACGGAAACAGATGTTGTTTTTGACCAATTAAGGTCGTTGATAAACATAAAATGGTTTAATTTTTCTTTTTCTTTGCATATAAATAAGAAATAGAATCGCAAATTTTCTATATTTGAGCGAAAAATATCTGAAATTGTGATTAATTTCGCAGTATTTAAACTCAAATAATTGATAAATAAAAAATTTATAATGAGCAGTATGAATTCTAATATGATAAAAAAAACTTAAAATTGATCTCCACTGACAAAATCAACATTTGAATTTAATATTCCTTCACATATAAACATTCTAAATCAATATCTTAACAAAAATTGTCAACAACTCATTACATTACATTTCGTTAAGTTGAATACCTACAAATAATATTCTGAAAAAATGAACAAATTCTCGCGCGCATTGGTCCGCCTAGATGACTCGACCGAAATCGACCGACTTCCCGACAACGTTTGGATGGAGTTTCGCGAAACTTTCCGCGCGATCGAGTCCGCCATCGCTGAGGGCATCAACTACTCGCTAGCGATAAACTGCTGCCAGGAAAGCAGCTCGATACCGATCGGATCGAAATGTGCCAACTCAACAAATGCAAGTTTCAAAGCCGTTACTGATCAAAATCGCGAAGATTTAACTATGACGTCACGTGATGACGTCAACAGTGAGGACGTTAAGCTGGATATAAAAATTAACGATTGTTTTTATGGTAAAACAAACAATTCATCATCAGAAAAAATCGAGAGTATAAACTATAAAAATGAAAACTGCCCTCCGACAAGTTTATCGGTAATGTCGGTGATTCCGAATAGCGAGCTTAAAATGGACAAGAAAGAGATGTGGAACGGAGAAGAGAGTGACAAAAAAACATTAACAGTCGCCTCGTCAACAGTGGTCACCATAACAAACATACCGATTATCAAAATCGAGTACGACAAGTCGGTCGAGTTAGACGAAGCGAGCCGTGACGTCAATGACAACCGCAACAACAACAACTCAAATAACAACATTAATAACATTTTTGCTGACATCAACAACTACAGTAACATCAAGAGCATTAACAGCAGACCGGTCGATAACATCAACAACACTCCAACAAATTACTTCAACGATGTTCCTTACACGGATTTGAAAACCGTATCTAGCAATTATTCAATTATCCGAGAAATACGGTTTTACGAGAGAATGTTAAGATGTGACGTCACCGAGCGGAAACAAAAAACTGATGATAACAATAACAACGACGCTAAAAACGGTGAAGATAATAATGATGACTCGAGCCATGTTAAATTTGACAAAAAGTTGTCACAGAATTCTCCAAACAGAACTTCAATTGATGATGCTAACAACATCAAAAATAAAAACAAACTAACAGAACAACAACAGCAACAACAGCAGCAGCTGCAACAACAACGTCAACAACAACAACAACAACAACAACAACATCAATACATCAAACAACATTTTCAGCAAAAGTTTCAGCAAAAAACCCACAAGTTATACTCTAGATACATGGTAAGCGATGTAGAACCAGCTTATGCATGGTGCACATCTTATGACAACTTCTACAAAAATCTACCATCTTGCATGTATGCCAACAACAACAGCAGTAACAACAACAACGACGACAACAACAACATTAACAACAACAACTACAACAACACCGAAGTTAGTTGCAACAATAGCACCAACATAATAGAAAATGTCGCCAACAATGATATCATGCCCCTATATCAAAATTCATATAATTCTCAGCAGATTCATAATCATCAACATATTTTTTATCAGCAGCAACAACAACAACTTATTCATCAACAAAATTTTTCGGTTCTTCCTTTAATGTACCCTCTTTCGCCGCCGGAGTCCTTGCCGAGTCCAGATTTTCAACATCAGCAGCAGCAACAACTACAACATCAGCAACAACAACATCAGCAACAACAGCTGCAGCATCCACAACAACATTCTCAAAACTTTTTCAAACTATCACCTCACTTAAATAAAAACCCTTTCATTCGAGCCGCGTTTCCTACAACCTCAAAATTAGCAACAACAACAACAACAACGTCACAAAACTTGGTAACCAAAACAACAACAACAACAAAAAAACAGTTTGTAGAACTTGAGGATGTTGTTGATGTTCCGAAAACTCCTGTGACTGGGAAACCCCGCCGGACACATCCGGGCTGTTCCACGATCAAATACAACAGGAAAACTAATCCTGAATTAGAGAAACGAAGGACTCATTATTGCCAATATTTTGGTGAGTTTTGAGGTTTTATTTTTTTTTTGTTTTGTTGTTGTTTGATGTTGTTGTTGTTGCTGTTGTTGTTGTTGTTGTTGTTGATGATGATGATGATGTTGTTGTTGTTGTTGTTGTTGATAATGATAATGTAGTAGTAGTAGTAGTAGTAGTTGTTGTTGTTGTTTTTGTTGTTGTTGTTATTGCTGAAACCTCTGAGAACTAATTAAGAAAGAGTTAATAATAATAATTTTAATTATTACTATTATATAATTATTATATTGTTATTTTTTAATAATAATAATATTATTGTATATTATTTATCATTGTAAAGGCTGTCGCAAAGCCTACACGAAGAGTTCCCATCTGAAAGCGCACCAACGCATTCACACTGGTCGGTTTGGATCTAATTATTTTTGTTATTTATTATCATGGTTGAATAATTTTAATTTTTATTACGAATTATTAATAATAAATAAATAAATAAAATTTAAAATGGAAATTTTTTACCGTTTTTTCTCACCACAAGGCGAGAAACCGTATCACTGCACGTTCCCGAACTGCTTCTGGAACTTCGCCAGATCCGACGAACTGACCCGACATATCCGAAAACATACCGGTGCCAAACCGTTCGTCTGCCAGGGATGTGACAGAACATTTGCCCGGTCCGACCATCTCTCTCTTCACGCCAAACGACATTTACCGAAAGTTCAACATATCGGTAACAGCCCCAGCGACGGTTAAAATATAAATTAAAATCGGTTAAAACTGATATTTTAGTTCAGTGCTGCTTTCGAAGTTTATCATACTGAATTACTGACAATAATATCGTTTAAGCGGTAAAAAACCGATTAAAATCGGTTATAAATTGATTATTTTTGGTTTGTGTCGTATCGGTATGTTAGATATTTTGTGTCATTTGTCGGATTTTGTATTATTTTTTTTATCAATTTGGAATAATAGTGACACGTCGTTTTTTCGATACATTCGTGTGACTTCATGAACTTTAACGAATAAAAATTTATGGAAGATTTTCAACGGTAATCAAAAATATTTTCTCAAATATGACAAAAAAAAATGAAAGAATGAACGAAAGAACGAACGTACCAACGAATGAATGAATGAATGAACAAACGAAAGGACGAGCGAATGAACGAACGAATAAAATGAATAAAAAATCACAGTAACACCGTCTCATGTTATCTTATAATTAAAATACTACTCAACAGAAAATATAGACAGACGTACATACGAACAAACAAACACACATACACACACATACACACACACACGCACACGTATGTGTTATTATTTTTATAGCGCTTTTTTAAGTCAAAACATCTCAAAAGCGCTTATTGCATACGCATAAGTCAGTCAAACTGAATACACACACACTCACTCACACACACACAAACACACACAAACACATAAACTATACTAAGATATATTAATCCGTATGATACACCCAAGCTATTATAGACTAGTATTGTACTTTTATGATACAATTATATATGTTTGTGTGTGTGTGTGTGTGTGTGCGTATGTGTGTCTGTGTGTGTATTTACATGTGTGTGTGTATTTACATGTGTGTGTGTATTTACATGTGTGTGTGTGTGTGTGTGTGTGTGAAAGAGAGAGAGAGAGAGAGAGAGAGAGAGAGAGAGAGAGAGAGAGAGAGAGAGAGAGAGACAAGGAGTGAGAGTTGCTATCACATCTTGTAAAATGTTCGAAAATTCATAATGCATGTTTGTGTGCGTGAATATCAGTGTGTGTCCGCGTGCGTGTTTGTGTGTTTGTGTGTGTAGTAACTAAATCCACAATATTGTCGCAAGATCGTAAACACATCCAAAGAATAATGACTCTCTCTTTCTCTTAATGTTAAGGCGGTCTTCGGTCATAAACTATTTTTTATAATGAGGATGATGGTGACCACTGCGATAGCGGTGTTGAGAAGGTTAATGATGATGATGATTACGACGGCGATGATGATGGTGATGTTTAAAAATGTTTGAAAATGAAAACAACATCAAACTCATCATTTTCATCAACATCAACAGACATCTTCCATATCAACATCATCATCATCATCGTCGTCATCATCATCATCATCACGTCAAATCACGTGACTTTCATTACTGGATCCCGTGAGAACCATTTATATAGCGCTTAACGTCGTTAGAATGGTTCCTCGAGAAGTGCCTTTCAGTAGTTTTCACTCGATTTGAACATGCAACTAATTAGAAATTATTTCAGCTACTAAATTTGATTCCAATTTTAGTAACACCTTCTCCTAACTGTGGTGACATGTTTGATGATGATGATGATGTGGGTGGTGGTGATGATGATGATGATGGTGATGATTGCAAAAAGGCTGTGATGATTCTTAAAGAATAATGGAAATTTCATTAATATGGAGAAACATATTCAAAAGCTTGTACAAAAAAATCGAAGCATATATACAATTATATATATATATATATATATATATATATATATATATATATAAAGAAGCACACATACACAGACACACACACACGTATATACACACATACAAGCATACACACACTACATACTTACATACACACACACACTACATACAAACATACGCACACTACATACAAACATACACACACTACATACATACATACACACAAACATACACACACTACATACATACCGACTTACCGACATGCACACAAGCATGGATATAAAAAAATGCATGTTATTTAGTAATGTTCCTATACCGACCGAGCAGCGATAATTGGGTAACGAATAGTTATTGTTGGCCGATCCTAGTGAGAGGATATGATGATGACGATGACGTAGAAGAAGTTGATGACGTCAAAGATGATGATGATGATGCAAATGATGTTCATTCGTCATTCAATCGTTCATTCGTTCGTTTGTTCGTTCATTTATTAATTTATTCATTTATTCACACATTCTTCTATTTTTGTTAAAATTTTAATCGTGTGTGTACCTGGTTTGAACCATATAATTAGAATAAATATAACGGCCTTCGCTCATTTTTGACGGTCGAGCAAGGAGCTTACTTCCGGAGGGGAATTGGAGGGTGATTTTTTATCGCCCAAGTCTAAAATTACGATCGTTTATTTACTAATTTCGGAATATTGCTTTTATTTAAAATGTTTTGAAAGGTGATACTAGATGCTGTTTTAGGATAGATATTGCTGTATGACGGTTTTTGCATTTTAAATTAAAAAAATTTTTTGTGAACCATTCTTCTAACACTTGACTCGTTAACAATTAACTGTAACCGGTAAGGGTAACTTAACAACATTAACGACGACTAATTAGTAATTAAATTATTAAACTCTAATAATTAAGCTAAAACTAAACTACTAATTCTAATTACTAACTAAAATAAATAACAGATAACACTAACGAACATTAACAGATAGACTACTAGAGACTACCAACCACTACACTACTACATACTACAACTACTACACTAACAGCACTTGTTCCTAAAATCCTAAATCCCATTGCTTGATTGGTTGTAAAATTTTTACTTACAATGCTTAGGCCTGGGAATAAAGAATATATTTTTTAAAATAACTAATATTCAATGATTTTTGCTAGTTATTCAATTATGTGGATAATTTCATATAATTAGAATAATTTGTCGTGCTTGGATTATTGGCTTACGAAATTGCATGGATTTTAACGAGCAAGCTATATGAAATATTTACTTCACTTAATATGCTTAAAACATTGTAGTAATTCTCTTTAATTTTATTA